TTCTAGCGGCTTTCCGTCATGTTTTTCAGAAGTTGAAACATCTTTTTCCATATTTCATCAGAATACAAGAACCAATTCCATAGTTCAAAAACAGCCAAATCGCTTACTGTGATCAGAGCTAACAATATTCTAACTGAAAGTAAAAACACCTAATAAACAGTGACTGCTTAGTTCAATGCTCGACCTCAGTTGCACTCGATACAGTAGGATGAAGCGGAGGCTCAGCTCAGCATTTCCTGGGCGCTAAATGATGTGTCAGGCACTGCTGGAGACCCTGGAGATAGAGAACTGAATAAGACTGAGAGGATGAAAGGTTTAATGGGCAAGAGAGTTCCGCAAAGATATGACTTCAGTTTGATATCGTTACCAGCTAAGTGAGAGGTCTGTATCTCATAGGAGATATTTACCTCAAACTGGGGCATTCAAAGCAGGTACCCTCAAGAAGATGACACTTGAACTAAGTCTTAAAAGATGAGTGAAAATTAGCCAGGTAGCAGGAGTTCCAGACATCCTGAACAAAGGCACAGCTGCCTAAATCGCTCACACTGTGTCTATGTGCAGTGACACAAACAGACTGGGAAAGTGTGGGCTGTGGTGGTATGTCAGGCAGCAGACTTCAATCGGAACCTTGGTAAGCCCAATTCAGGAGTTAATAATAATAAGAGTAGTAACAAAAGCTGATATTTATTGAGCACTTACTATGTTGCAGGCACCATGTTAAACATTTTAAAACAATCTTTTATTTAGTTCTCACCATAACTCCATAATCCTCTTTTACAAATGAGAGCAGGGACAACTAGCAGGTAAAGTAACTGCAACAGGCTGCACAGCCAGGAAACGGGAAGTGGGTTTGGAACCTGGACGGCCTGATTCCAAAGTTTATACCCTTCACTCTTCTACCACCAGGACTATCCTCAAAGAGAACCACTAAATGAACGCATCGGATCCATCATGCTGGCTACAGAATAGAGAATGCAATTAAAGGCAGCTCAACTCAGGCTCAAAATAAGGCAGGGACAGGAAAGTGAAAATAAATTGATTCAAAAATATATTCAGGGGGACCAAGAAGGAAACATTCAACATGTACATCCTCTTAGTGTATACGGCAACAATAAAAAGCAGGCTTTTGAAAATGAGGTGTAGAAAATAAAACACCAATATTTGATAATGCTCCCAAGGATAAAAGGTTTAAAACATGTATCCTTTTCTTTGCTCATAACATGCTTCCAGCTGCTAAATTCAATGAAGGCCAAGACCAGGTCTGTCTTTTTCACCATCAGATGATGTCCCAGGTCTGAGCGTCCTGCCTGGCAAGAGATAATCAATAAACACGATTGAGAAGGCAGAAGAAAAAGTTGCCACTTTTGGCAATGATATTGATGAGATGCCGTATTGATCCAGAGTTAAAAACTAACCTTACAGAAAAAATTAAAAAGTCATGCTCATACTTGAGTAGAAAACATGTAGCAGTTATGTTGACTACACAGACAACAGTCATCCAGTCATCGGTAGGAGCTGCTACATTGAAAAGAAGGCAATGAGTTCAAAACGTGATTAGTATTTTGTATACACCATAACTCATGAAAAATAAGATGCTGTTAAAGGAAGTGGCCTAAAGGTGAAAATGTGTTTTATGACGGGGAAAAAAAAGCACAAGAAGACCAAAGATCAGCTTTGAGGCCTAATGATGTCTAGTCTCTTCCCCTGACAAAATAGCATGTTATTAAAGTGATTTGAAGAACCTGTATTTCTATGACACTTTTACAAATTCTCTGTCCTCAGTAAGAATCTACTTTTAGGAAGCTGAAAAATAAAAGTCATATTTTTCAGACCTGAAGAGTTACTGTACACTTTACAGTTTTCCCCATAAGAGTAATTTCTCAGTTTTGATCATTTAGGAAGAGTGAATGCAAACAAAGTCAAAAACGAATATAAAAAAAATTTTTATGATATATTTCTTAGTGAAATTTGTTCTTATATTTAAATGCTCTGCATACTTGTCAAGTTACTAAACAGAAGACACATTTTGTTGGATTTTATAGGTGACATAAAAGGAGGTTGTTGTTTTATAAACAGTCTCATTCCCTCACATCTTATCTTGCATTAAAATATTTTGAAAAATGTTTTCAGTTTACCAATTGTTAGAAAAAATCTGAAACTATTTCCTTACATGAAAAATTAAAATGTAAGTAGAATTAGGTTTCTTGTCTTCAATATATGTCTTTAACCTTCAGCCAACTTTGAAAGTTTACTTCGAATCAAATGAATACAAATTTAAAATGTTTCATTAATTCAACCATTTTGAAACTTCAATTCTATAAAAATACGAAATCTGTTGGCCTTGCAAAACTGTGTAAAACCCCAAATAAAAAGCCACCACACTTTTAAGCTAATTGTTTAAAAGTGTGAATATAGATGAAATGAAACTGACTCATGACTACTGGGTCTGGAATTTGCAAATCATAAATCTTATCCTTGTAAACAGAACCTAACTAACAACATCAGGGCCTGCTAATTTCCTTCTTTTATAAACTGGAACAAACGTTTTAATGATTTTTAACATTCACAGAAAATTAAGGGTGCCATTTTAAATATTTATTAGCAAAATATCATTCAGGTTTTAAGAGTCTAGAGGAAAATGAAAGACAGTTGAACATTCTGGTACTAAAATGTAGGAAAAATGCCAAGAACAAAACACTCAGATTTTATTAAAACCAGACGATTCAAATTTGTGTTAAGACTTTTTGCTTGCAATAGTGCTTCTTCATAATTTGATTAAAAACTTCCATCTCCATGTCACCTTTAATGTAAGCAATAATTTTTAAAAAGTTCTCAATCTACTTCATGTACTCTGAAATTTACAACAGACCGTGATGTGCATTTTTCTCTAGACAAACCTAAAGATGAATCTGCCCCTGGGTAGATAAAATGAGTACCTCAGGGTGATGTGGACTGTCAGCTCCTCTGTATTTCACCTAAAGTCTACATGGTTCATCTCCAAGTCACCAGAAGTGCCAGGGGGAAAGGCGGGGAGGGGCACGACACATAATATGTTAAACATGAAGATGATGTAAAGTTACTCAGATTCAACCTTGCCATTTTCCAGATGAGGAAACTAAGGCCTAGAAAAAGTTCTACGACTTGCCTGAATACGCGGTTACAAGGACCAGCTGCAGATACTGTTAACTGGCTCAGAGCTACAAAAAGTCTACCTTTTGGCCCCGCGCTGTGGCTCACGCCTGTAATCGCAGCACCTTGGGACGCAGAGGCGGGTGGATCACGAGGTCAAGAGATCGAGACCATCCTGGCCAACATGGTGAAACCCCATCTCTACTAAAAATACACACATTCGCTGGGCATGCTGGTGGGTGCCTGTAATCCCAGCTACTCAGGAGGCTGAGGGAGGAGAATCGGTTGAACCTCTGAGGCAGAAGTTGCCGTGAACCGAGATGGTGCCCCTGCCCTCCAGCCTGGCGACTCCGTCTTTAAAAAAAAAAAAAAAAAGTCTAACTTTTGAAGTCTCAGGAGTTTTACACTTTTCATAACAAATCATTAAGAACACCCTTTCCTGCATATAAATATATTATAAATACATACATATATATATATATATATGTTTTTTGTGTTTATTTTTCTTCAAAACCTTCAGAGACAGCGGTCAGGTGGGTAGCCTAGTTGGGATTTTTAACCCTTCGGTTTCCAACAAACGATGGCTGCAGAGAACCATCAATTCCCTGAAGCCAGGACTGTCTCGTTCCAGGCAAAATCTCCAGTCCCTAGCGCCCAGTAGGCATTTAGCGAAGGATTCCCGGTTTCCCCTGAGCGTCTCCACTCCCTACCCATCCGTGATGCCAAGGCGTCAGTGGAGCCAGCTAACTTTCCTTTGGAAATCGCTTATTTTCTTGAAATTTGTATCCAATAACTCCGGGCCAAGAAGCGGGCCTGAGGGCATGCGTGGCCGTGTCCAGGCGCTCAGGACTGAGGAGCTGGCCTGTGGAAGGGGTGGCAGGGAAGCAGCGGGGTGGGCGCGCGGCATCGCCACGGGCGGAGGGGCCCAGGTGTGCTTTGGCAGCTCAGGCTGCCGCCCCGCGCCGCGGCTCCCGGCCGCCTTCAGATAACCAACTTCTCAAACTTCCCTTTCCGGGGGTGGGGGCTCGCCTCGAACGCGGCCCGCACAGCGCCTTTCCTGCTCGCACAAAGGGGACCGAACGTGCCCCGCGCCCCTGGCAGCCCAACTTTCCTTCTCTTTTTTCAAGAAAAACTCACACATCCCCGCGGCTACGCGAGTCGGGCTGTGCGGGTGCCGCGGCGGACACTTTCCCGGTTTCCGCCCGGGCGCCGGGTGGCCGGGCCCGACTGTCAAGCGCCGCGGAGGGGCGGGGAGCTCAGGAAGACCCCCGGCGCCCCGCGGGGCCCGGGCTGGGGGGCCACTCACCCGACTTCGGAACTTGCGGTGGGATCGTGCTGGCGATGCGCGTCCACAGGACGATGTGCAGCGGCCACAGGCCCCTGAGCAGCCCCCGACCCATGGCAGACCCCGCCGCTCGTCATAGACCGAGCCCCGAGCGCGGCGGGCGGCGCCTTCCCGGACCCCTGGCTGCGCCTCCGCGCCGCGCCCTCCGTGGACCCCGCGCCGGGCCGGCCGCGCAGAGTTGCGGGCCAGATGCGGCGCCCGCTCTCCAGCCAGGAGGCGCGGGGAGGCCCCCGGCGGCCGAGGAGAGCAGCGCGGGAGGCCGGCGCCCGTCCCGAGCGGGTGCACGCGCGGGGGTGTCGTCGCTCCGTGCGCGCGAGTGACTCACTCAACTTCAACTCCGCGCTGCGGGGGAAACAGGAAACTCCTCGCCAACAGCTGGGCAGGACCTCGCTCCGCCGGCAGCCTTCTGCGCTCCTCCGCGCCCGGCCCCGGCGCTCTCGCGGCTGCCAATCATGCGTCCTAGCCCAGCCCCTGCGAGCGCTTGGGCGACTCCCCGCTGCCCCTCCCCGCCCTCCCGCCCCACTCGGGAGCTCCTCGCTCCAAGGATTTACTCCGGAGTGACTAAGTGCACGTAGTTCACAAAGTAACACCAGAAAACGTCCACGTTTTCCCTGGTCCATCAGAACATCGGCCGCCTGCCCTCAGCTGTCTGCAGCCTGCCCTGCCCCTAGGTGTTGAGAGATGCGTTTTCAAATGACACGTTGAGATCCAGGAGTGAATACTCAAATCTAGTGACTCGGGAGCACATCTCTTTCCCGAATAAAATAGTAACGGTAAGTATGACTTCATTAAACTTTTGCTTCAGTTGTGTCTCTTGTGTGCATACACTGTCACGGTGTAAAAATTTTTCTTACTGTAGGTCAAAGTCTAGAGGTTTTTCTCATTTGAATGTATATACTGATCACCTGGGAATCTTGTTAAAAGAAAACGCAGATTCTAATTCAGTAGGTCTGGGAGGCAGGTTGAAATTCTGCTTTTCTAACGAGCACCTGGATAGAGCCTCCCATTTTGCACCCACCGTGTCTTCCTGAGGCTGAGTAACTAAATGATCACCTATCACCAAGCGATAATGTTGGGAAATGTCATTTTCAGAATGTATAGAGTATAGCAGAAACTGTAAAATTAAAAGTGGCTTGGGAGTTACCTGAATGCTTGCGCTTTTATTCTCTTAATACAGATCAAGAAAGAGAATACTTAGCCTCTCATGTCCAAAAGGAGTAACATGGGAGCGGGACAGTATAAACTTTCCAATCTCCTTTCTTCCCAGGGCAACCAGATTTGCCCAAGACATTCCTCTGTGTACTTGTTTTATAGTTTAAATATTAATAGAACCCCCTTTCTCTTTCAGATACGTCCTGACTAGATAATAAACTATGTGATCAACGTACTTCCAGCTCTCAAAGATATGGTTCTGTACGGCCCTCTGCTCCAATCTTCCAGCAATTCATTCAATGAATTCCTTTACCTAATAGGAATATTGCAGAGGCCAGGGTTTGTGCCACGGTCTCCAGGGAATAAAGGTAAATAGCCCTCCCCCAAAGCCAACTCCCAAATCTTCCCTGTGATTCTAAGAGTTCATTTGCTTCATCCTGGAATTTGAACTCTTGTTCCACCTAACCCCCAAGCTGCCTCTGCTTGTTTTGACACTTCCCAGCTCTCATGTTGAAGATGCAGAAAGGACACTGAAATCAGGAGGGCTAGGCATCTTCTTTCCCACCAATTAATAGCCTTGCCAAGGCTGGTGTGACTTTGGCAATGGAGGAAGATTGAGTTCCAGATCTTCTCCCTATTGCCTCTTCTGCCACGAGCCCATGTCACGGCCATCCCTTGCGTAGGAGTCTCCCACCAGTCACCCTCAGCCACAGCCATTCTGGGCTCTTTCACTCAGTTTCTCAAACCAGAGCTGAATACAAAACTGGTTATACCAACCCTCTGATTAAAATCATTTAATGGCTTCCCACTGCTCTTGAGATAAAGAGAAGATAAAAACCAGATACTTGAATGTGCCTTCAAGCCTCCACCTCTCCTCTAAACGTTCCTTTGGCTTCTCCTTGCTTGCTGAAAGCCTTCTCCAAATTCCATGAATGTTCCCCTGTATCCCTCCTACTCTTTATACGCAGAGCCTTCCCCAGTATGGACTTCCTTCCTCTGTCCTTTTTTTCTTCACCCAGCCAACTCCTGGTCTTCGTAGATTGAATGGTAACTTCTTTGATGGGCAAACTTTCCCTGACCTCCATGAGTAGACTTTTTATTATAGGTTCTCATGGCACCGTATGCCTTTCTTTTAAAGCACTTACTACAGCTGTCCCTTGATAATTATTTGTGTCATTCTTTAGTTTCTATTCTTACCCTCCACTCAACTCCAAATTTCTTGAGGGCAGGTATGGCATATCTTTCCCTCCACTTACTGTTGTGTTCCTAAAGCATCTAACATGTAATCGATGTTTGATAAATATATGTTGGATGAATAAATGAATCAAGCAATACAGATTTAGAAGAAAATTTAGAAGGAAATTGATTGTTCTAGTTAACTTCATAACTCTGGAGAAGACATTGTTACCTAATAGTTTGAGATATAAACAGACTACATTTTAGCCGAGAATGATGTCACCATTACTTCCTTTTCTTAAGAATGGAGAAGTATGTGGGTTTCTTTCTTTTTTGTTGTTGTTTTTTCTTACATTTGCCCAAGTTCCCCTGGATTGCATGCATGTACTTTCTTTCTCCTCAAAACGCAATGTGGCAAATAAATGTCCAACAGGTTCCAAAGGCTTCCTTTTCCATAATTTTCACAAAGACAGATGCTTTACGTTGTTGGAGGCTAGGTATTTGAATCCATGGTAGAATGTTTAGCTGGTGTCCTTTGTCATCATACATCATTAACGTTGATTTTGATTTTGTTTGCCCTTAACATTTCTGATTTAATCTTTAATCTCCTGTGAAATTGAGAAGAATCAGAATTCAGCATTGCCAAGTGCAAACTAGTCTTTTGAAAATCATCATACTAAAAATAATAGAGATGTAAACTCATGTATATTACAATTTGATAATTTTAAAAATTCATCAGGCTGGGTGCGGTGGCCCACACCTGCAATCCCAGTACCTTGGGAGGCCAAGACGGGAGGATCACTTGAGCCCAGGAGTTTGAGACCAGCCTGGGCAACATAGTGAGACTTCATCTTTACTAAAAATAAATTTAAAAATTAGCCAGGCATGTTAGCATGTATCTGTAGGGCCAGCTACTCAGGAGGTTGAGGTGGGAGGATCGCTTGAGCCCAGGAGATCAAGGCCACAGTGAGCTAGGATTGTGAGACCCTGCCTCAAAAAAAAGAAAAGAAAAGAAAAGAAAAGAAAATTGCCATGATGACGTTCCTTTTGAAATTCTTATTGAAAAGAATGTCTGATACCCCCAATCAAGACATTGTTTTCCCATATAAGGCTTTAGTCGTCCCCAAACTTTTTACACAGGGGGCCAGTTCACTGTCCCTCAGACCGCTGGAGGGCTGCCACATACTGTGCTCCTCTCACTGACCACCAATGAAAGAGGTGCCCCTTCCTGAAGTGCGCGCGGGGCCGGGGTGCGGGGTGGGGCGGGTGGTGGCGGATAAATGGCCTCAGGGGTCTGCATGCGACCCACGGGCTGGGCCATAGTTTGGGGACGCCTGCTTTAGTGTAATATTGCGTGCATTCATATCAGCAGTTAATGTATACATGTAAAAAACCGGGCCATTTGCAAATGAGAACATAAGAATAATAGCCTGATTCAGGGTTTAAAAAACAAGGAAGATAATTTTTAAGCCCTTAGAGAGTTGAAAAACAGTAAATATCAATTTGAACAGAAATTTTAAAAGCTGACAATCTTTATTTTACCAGTTTTACAAACTCTGCACGTGCACGCACACACACGCACACAGTTGAACTGAATCAAAGTGTGGTTTATTTAAACTTTGGATCTCTCAGTTGTGATGAGGGAAGAACCTCCTGCTTCCCTGAGCTTTTTGTCATGTGGCTGTTGAGGTTACTGTCAGCTAGAGCAGTTAACAGGGAGATTCCTCTCCTTATAAATTAACTAATCTCATTCTCAGCTTTTATCTCTTGACCAATTTTCCTTTAATTGTGAAGCAGACCAGTAAGCACTGAGACTGTAGTTAGTTTGTGAGGGTCATACACCTTTTGTGGGTCATCCAGGATGCTAGCTCCTCCAGGAAGGAAGTATTTTGTGAGGCTTCACCTACTATGCTCACTCCTTTCCCAGGGATAACCCAGGGAGCATTTAGTTTATTCAGCCATTTTTTTAAATGTTTACCCCATTCTAACATGGAGTGCATTATTGTTATTTATTTATTTATTGGAATGCTTCCATACCAATTGTAAAGTTTTTGAAAGCACAAAATATTCCTTTTTCAACATAGAACCACACTCAGTGCTCTACAGATAATAGTCAGTGTGTGTTTCTTATCTTCAACAGAGAGAAAAATAGTATCAGTTTTCCTAATCTATTCTATTGTTTGCAGTCCTTCACAGATATTAATAGAACTTGCAATTATGTCACATGTGTACAGAAAGCGTTAATAGTATGTTTTAAAAAAATAGCTTTTTGAAAATTACAAGCGTAATGTATGTTAATTGTGGGTAGGAAATATAGATTTTTTTTTTTAAGGCAGAAGTTAAAAGGATTCTTAACCCTATTATCCAAAGATAATCCTTGCTAAATTTTGGAGCATGTCATTGCAGTACTATTCTAATCTTTCCCTTTACAAATGAAGAATTTGAGGATTAAAGGGATTAAGTATTTGGCAAAGGTCTCATAGCTAGGGCAAGAACAGAGCCCAGATTTGAACTTAGTCCTGTCTAGCTCCAGACTTGTTCCATTCTCCAGAACAAGTTGATCAGATGGTTCATCTTCGCCACCTGACCAGTGAAGGATTTCAGGAAATGCCACCCCAGAATATGCTGCTTTGGTATACTGAGTATTTTCAGTGGAAGGCACTTAAAGAATGGCAAATGCAGAGAGGACGAGAGACATGTGGAACCAATGTGAACCAACCTCCTGATTGAATCTAAGCCAGACCTCCATCAGGCAATCTCAAGCCTACCTCTAGCCCATTCACAGGAGTTTGAGTAAGAATAAGTCAATGCTGTTTAAATCACTAAATCTGGGTTGGTTTGCTATCCAGAAGTTTTGAGACAATAGCTAAGATATATAAGGGATGTAAAGGGTAAGGAATCATAGAAAAGCAAGGTTAAAAAATTTCCAGGTGGTAAAACTACAAAGCTTCTTGCAGATAAGAACTGCCATGAGGTTTGTTATGGGGGGCTGAAGATAAGGGAGGCAGTGGGACTGCAATTTAGACTTTTACGGTTGTCTGCAAGTTAAATTATACATACAATTAAAGAGTATGACCAACATCCTTCCTCGTTTACTTGAAGTCCACTTTCTCTCCCATCTTGCCATTCGTTCACTAATTTTGTTTAGGATTTGGAAACAGCTTCTCTTAAGGAAAAGGCCCATCCTTGTCTGAGGGTGAGTGTATGATTCAGTTCTGGTCAGTGAGCTGCAAGAAGAAATCTGATGGGGGCTCATGGGAAATTTCTTTTCTACCTGTTCAAAAAGAAGTGCCTAAGGAAAAGGACTCTGCCCCTTACCTTCACCTATTTCCTACCTTTGAACATAATTGGAAGAGGGTAAAACAGTCTGAGATGCTCCAATCACCTGTCAACAATGAGAAGAAGGCCAAAGGTATCAGCGTAGAACCACTGAATCAATACCAGCAACTACCTCAATGCAGACATGATTTGAGTATGGTAGATAGGCTGTAAAGATGGCCACCATCTCCTCTCTGTTTCACTGTACTCACACATTGTTCTGCACAATAAGAGGTGTAATGGAGTCTATTTTCCCTTTCCTTGAATCTGTGCTGGCTTTGTACTTGCTTTCACCAGTAGAATATAGTGGAAGTGATACTGACCATTAGTACCCATTCTGGGACTGGCCTCAAAAAGAGACTTCCTCTCTCAGAAACCAGTTTTGCCAGATGCAGTGGAGTGCACCTGTAGTCCCAGCCATTAGGGAGACTGGGGAGTCCCAGCTATTAGGGGGCTATTAAGCAGGAGGATTGCTTGAGCCCAGGAATTCGGGTCGAGCCTCAGCAACATGGTAAGACCCTGTATCTAAAAAAATAAAAAATAAAAAATAAAATAAAATAAAAGAATAAACAAAATACAATTTAAAAAAATGTAATCAGTTATCACATAAGAAATTTGAATACCCAGAATCCATCATGCCTCGTGGAAGCCCAAGCTAGCCATTTCAGAGGCCACGTGGAGAAATGGCCACCTACCCACCATTGTAGCCGTCCTACCTGAGGCACCAGAAATGTGAGTGAAGGAGCCATCTTGCATTTTTCTAGCTCCAGCAAATACCAGCGAGAAGAGAACGAGCAAGATGATCCCCACTTTGCAGAACTATGAGAAATAACTGATATTGCATAAACTGTTAGTTCCAGCCCAAATTATTTCTAATACAGAGAAATCCACTGATGAAATTGAAAGAGGAAAACATTTCAGTTACCATAAGCTGTTAACCTGTGTACCAAATACATAGGTGCATCAACTATGAATTGAGAATTGCATGGTTTCTTTTAGTTATCTTGTGAATTGCACAATTATGCGTATTTCTATATTGTATATGTTTAAAGTGATTCCATGTTACAAACACATAAATGTAAAACATTTTATGATTTTTATTTTAGCATTTATTTATTTTTACACACTAATAAGGAATCTCAACACCCAAGAGTGGCCCGGCATAACTTTTGGGATGTGAGAGGCCCTGTTTTTCATTTCAGAATGGGGATAAGAAAAATACATTAAAGGAGATTTTGATCATGGAAGGGAGATGGTAATGGATAATCAGATAAGACTTTTAAGTCAATGATTAGAAAGTCTGGAAAATGTATCCAAGGACATAAGACTGTCAGGAAAACAAGTGTGAAATAACCAAAGTATAAACCAAAGTCGTGACCGTGAGACTAGTGGGAATTCAATAGATTAAAAATGTAATACAGAGTCTGGTAGGAATGCCTACCTGAGTTGACATGGAGTGACACAGAAATTCTAGCAGGAGACAGCTCTCAAAGCAACCTACACTTGACATAATAATTATAGACAACGTGTGTTGTCCGGCACATGTATCTCTACATGCCATCCGCCATTCAGAGTGTTCGTATGAATAAATGACTTTAGTTTTCAAAACAATCCTCTGAGGTAGATAGTGTCATACATAATCAGTTTATAGGTGGGGAAACAACCAGAGAGAGGTTCAGAAATGGCAGAGTCAGAATTCTGGCTGAACACGACTGGCTGCAGAGCCCAGGCTCTAAGACACTCTGTCATCTGCTGCCATGACACCGGCCACCTCTCAGTCTCCCCAGCTAGGCTGTGATTTCCTGAGTCAGGGACCATGTCTTTAGCATCTTTAGCTTCTTATGCCTGATCCGTATGTTTTGTTCAATGATTACCAGTGAATAAGAGGATGCTTCAGTGCCTAAATTCTTATCATTTGTAATATTTGAGAACTGGGACTTTGAAAGTTGTGAATTTCAGAAATAAAATCTGCATTGGCCCCGCAATACCTGACCGCAAAATGAGGGTCATAATACTCATCATAGAATGTAAACACTTGCATGAAATGTCTTAAAATGATGAAACATGCTTTGTAAAATTGAAAATGGCACAAGCAGATGAAGACAGATTTCATTTCCAGAGAGAGAATTTACATCCTTGATAGTTACGTTAGTAAATTTCATCATGGTAAAACATTCATCTTAACTTCTTAATTTTTAAAAAAGGAATATTACAACAAACAGTTTCAATCTTTCTAACTCAATATGTGCTTCCTTAAAAATACTGGATGACACTCCCATTTGGACATTACATTCCAAGTGCTACAGTCATTCAGTTTAATAGTTACTAAGCAAACTATGTCACAAACCTTGGAAGTCAGACACTTCATCAAACATAATTAATTCCTCTAATTACAACAAATTGTTTTAATTATTCATTTCTCAAACGTACAAAGCCACTTGCCAATATAGGATAATTGACTTAAAAATATTTACCTTAAGGTGGATTTATTTAGTTGCTATCAGAAAAAAGATTATAATAACAGTTTTAAGAGTTATATTTAATGGGTATATCCTTCAAATTCATGATACTATACATCTTAAAACATATACAATGAGTGAATATTAATTATATTCAACAAATACTTCAGATTTGCTGGAAATTTTGTACCGTAATCAAAAATAAATATTTCAAGGATGTGGTAGCATTTGGAAAAATCTTCTCAAAAGTCTGCACCCCTGGAAAGCTTCTGCAATCGCTTCAGCCAATCCTTTTCTTCTTTTAACTTCAGAAACTTTGTTAACTCGCATAATGGAGGTCAGAAATAACTTTTCATTGTTTACATGATTTGTGCTCAAAATATATAGACTGGTTTACAGGATTGTACAGGCACGCCTCCTGTGGCATGAATAGGGCATACAATCTTACATCCTTTGGAGTAATCTAGGCCTAAGCTTCCAGTCCTGTCTTATGCCATTTTTGTAATAGTCTGACATTTGATCTCAGACTAACCGTATCCTACTGCTCAAGATTTTTCACATTCTTCTAAAGTGGTGATTTCCTGCAAAATACTGTCACAGCATGCTGAAGGATCAAGAGCAAAGTCTTCACTTAGTTTACAGAAGAGGTCCATGCGGGCTTGCCAATAAAAATTTGTGCATGTAGAAAATTCAATCTGAGATTTATTTTTATTGTTAAACGTTACCTGGGTATCAAGGATGTGGGGAGACCTTGAGTTCGTACCCATTTCTAACTCCTCCCATCTAGGAAAGCTAACTAAATATTTATCAATGACAGATTGACTCTGGTCAATTCACAACAGCTCTCGAAATGCAGAAACTTTAGATTAATGGCTAAGAAAGATCGCAAATACTATTTGGTAACAAAACACTTATGCTTTTGTGTATCAGAGGTTAGGAATGCACAGGGTGATAGGTGCTCTTGCATAATCATTTGTGCAAGTCTCAAGAGGTTTTTAATTATTAACCCACAGAATCAGTTGAACACCCTGTGCCACTTTTTCCTTCAGGCATTTCAGAGGGTTGCCTCCTTCCTGAATCTGACAATGGACTCATTTGTTATTGCTTAGAATTGCCATGGCAAATGCCTGTCTCCAACTTATAATAAAACTGAGTCATCTGTTCCTCACTTAGTCATTCCTCACCTAAAGACTATCAGAATGCTGCCAGTTATTTAGATTGCAGAGAAAATAGTTCAGAGAGGTTGCCTTTGATATTTATCATCATCATTTTGCCTCCACATGTAAAACCCTTAAAAGACAGTTAAAACATTGAACTATGTTTGTAACACTTAATGTTTTATTTGACTAATTGTATAGATAACTTTTACGACACTCTACTTGTTTTTCCTCAGCCATCTGCTCCAATAAAACAGATTTTTTCTTTATATTTTTTCTTTATGGGGAGCACCCATGTTCCCTAGGACATTTTTCTCTTAAGTAAAGAAAACTAGATCACAATTTTACCATAGAATTGTTATGTGTTTTCATATCAATCCTTTACATAAATATCTTACAAAAGGTAATGATTCTGTATATAAAATTCTGCTGCTGGATGAAGTATACAATCTCTGGCTAGACCTAGAAAATAATATTAGTATAGCGTTTTCCCATTCACAAAGAGGCTCTGCGTATGTGATCTTACTACACATAAAAACTATATGATGTGAAAAAAAATCAACCATGTGATGTGAAAATTATTAATATATAATTATTATTGTTTATGTTATCAAGATTTTACAGATGAAGACATTGACATTCAAAGACATTAGTGACTTGTCCAAGGCCACCTAGCTAGTAAATGCCAAAATACAAATTGATTGTCTGACTGTTCTTTCCTCTATTCCTCATGGCTTTCTTAACCTTTCTTCTCTGTTGTCCTGTATGTCAAATTCTATGCTCGTCTTTTTTCCCTCTGTCCCCAGCTCAGGGTACACGGGTGTGCTTTAAGTCCATTTGCAAAATCATTTGCCTCCTATCCAGAAATGTCAATATCCAAGCAATATCATTTGCTTCCTATCCAGAAAGGGTCCAGAAGTGCTCTGGAGCCAGAGTGCCCTGAGTGTATTGCTCCAGCTTCTCTGACTTGGTGATCGTCAGTCAGCAGAGGATATCTACACGTACAGAGGAGCCCAGTAGAGCTGCCTGGTCAGGCGAATCATCCCTGAGCAGGGTGGCAATGGGGATGGCGTCTTGTAGTGTAACCACTGCTCTCGGCACGCTGTGATGCCCCTGTGGGTGTTCTCTATTCATTCAAAGCCTCAGAGTCTCTTGGTTCTGAGAGCCACACTTGAACCAGGAAATTGCCTTTCAGAATATGATTCTCTGCTCTGTTCTTATAAATGTGGCTTCTCTCTTTCCTACATACAGGCCTACAACGTGCTTTTTTTTTTTTTTTTTTCCCAAAACAGGAGATCCTAACCTCAGATTCATGGAATTAACTCAAATGAAGTGCAGATTATTAGATGCATCTACATAAGTATTTTTTCAAACTAGAAAATTTTAGCTTTTATCCTATTCTCAAAGGGGCCTGGGGTCAAAAAAAATTTGCTAATAATATTTAGAGTGAGTGATAGATCTGGAAACCAAACTCAGACCATCGCACTCTAGAGTGCTTATTATTGACTTCTTTCTTGATTTTTCACTTTCTAAGTGGGTGACCCTGAGCAATTTACTCAACGTTCCTGAGTCCAGTTTATTTTTGATAGTCATGCCAGACTTTCATGTCCATGAAGATGGCATAGGAACATTTTTCCCATTGCTGTTGGTAAGTACAATAAAAACCCCAGACATTATGTATTAGGCAAATGGAAGAAGACTATAAAAGGAGGAAAGATAAAGATAAGCCGGTTTGGGATGCCTGGACCTAGGGAAAGCACATGGCAGTAATTGTCCTGGGCTTCCTGTTGGCTTCACATATCTCAGACATGAAGCTGAAGAAGCCAGAAACCTATAAACACCAGAGGCAAGAGTAAATAAAATTTAAGCGCCAACAAAAGCTGCTTCTCTCTAGGCAAAACATGAGGGGAAAAGGCAGCCTTTATCAAGACAGAAACGTTTTATAGAATAAGTTCTCCAACAAAATACCACATGAAATACTGTGGCCTCACACCCGTCTGTATCAGTAAAAGATGTATGAAGAGCCTAGGTTTCTACCCTTGTGAGCCTGTAATGAGGACCCCTAACACTTCTACCAGGGTAGCATCAAAGAAGGCCAAGTTAGAAGGAAAGATTTTCATCCCTACTGGCTAGGAATGACATCCCCTCTCTGCTTCCCTCTGTTTTCATGGTGCCAGTGGAGACCACATGAGCAGCTTGGACCACATCCAGCAGTAACGAGGTATCTCTATCCTTCTTCGCTGTGGTGGTATCAGAAGAGACCTATTGGAAATTCAGGACTCTCACTATTGCCTAGAGTAATGAAGCCACTGCCACATCACTGGAGACCACATGGGGAGCTGGAACTCCAACCTGTACCCAGAAATAGTGGGATGCTTCTCTCCTCTCTGCCTCTACCACACAGGTGTCATTGGATGTCAAAGGGGGAACCCAGAACTCTTCTGGCAGTAACAAGGTGGTAACTATGAGCAGTAAAGAAGTGCTGCCTCCCATCTCACTGAAGCAGTGTCAAAATTATTAAAACAAATGGTTTGTAATAAATCATAAATCGTGTTAACATGATGCAAAAATGTCCAGGTTTCAACAGAATATGATTCATCATACCATGAACCGGGAACATCTCAAACTTAATGAAAAAAGATGGTCAATAAATTTCAACACTAAGAAACAGAAATGTTAAAATTATCTGCTAAAAATGTTAAAGCACCTATGAGAAAAATGTTTGAACATGCAATTAGGACTGATGCCAGGAACAAAATTACAACCTCAACCAAGAAATAGAAAATCTCAGCAAAGAAATAGAAAGTATAAAAAAAAATAAACCCATGGACATTTAGAATGAAAAATAAAACTGAAATAAGGATATCATTTGATGGAATAAAAAACACATTGGAGAGGAATGAGGAAAGAATTGATGAACTGGAAGACCGAACAATAGACATTGTTCAATCTGAGCAAAAAAAGAGACATAGGCAGGAAAAATAAAAAGGGCAGATCCTTAGGGGTCTGTGAGACTGTAACAATTTATCTAGTACTTATGACACCAGAGTCTTGAAAGGAGAGAAGGAGAGAGGAACTGCAAACATGCTTGAAGAAATGATGGATGAAAACTCCCCACTTTTGGAAAAGACGTAAACGTATAGATTCAAGAGGCTGAACAAAGCCTAAATAATAAGGCTAAGTAAATTGATGTCAGGATATATGATAATTAAAATTTTGAAAGCCTACCACCAAAAAAAAAAAAAAAAAAAAATGTTGAAGCAGCCAGAGTAAAACGTCTTACTTATAGATGAAAAATAAGGCTGATAGCAGATTTATCTTCCAAAACTATGAAGGTAAAAAGGAAGTGGCATAATATATTCAGGCCCTGAAAGAAAAAAAATTTAAACCCAGAATTTTATATTTAATAAAAATATCCTATAGGAGAAAAAAGGAAATCAAGTCATTCACTGATGAAGTACAATTAAGAGAATGTGTTGCCTGAAGACCTATTCTTAAAAATGTTTTTTAAACAGAAAGAATGATAAAAGAGACTTGGAAATCAGAAAGGGAAAAAGTACAATACAAAGAGTAAACATGTGAGTGAACACAATAAATTTTCCTTCTTTAGAGTTTTCTAAATAATGTAACACTGTCTGATGTGGCTCTAAATGTATATAGAGGAAATATTTAAGACAATTATTGCAATGAAGGGTTAAAAACGAAAAGACAGGTGATAGTTCTATATGTCATTCAAATTGATAAAATAGTGGCACCAGTAAGACTGCAGTGAGTTATGTATATATCCAGTAAAACCACAAGTAAGCAGTATAAAGAAATGCACTCAAAATGCTATAGGCCAGGAAAAATATAATTTTTGGAAAAAATGTTTGAGTGAAGGAGAAAAATGTAAACGGAGTACTAAGAACCAGAAGAAACAGGAAAACAGAAGTAGACTTAAGTATTATTCCAGAAAAATGAAGATCTGTGTTCCCCCTCCACACACACAAAATGGACAAGAATGTTTATAGCAGATAAATTCCAATAGCCTCAAACTGGAAATAACACAAATGTTGTTCAACCAGTGAATGATTAAACAAACTGTGATACATCTATGCCATGGGAGTAGTCCTCAGCAATAAGAGAAAATCAATTACTGATACATGCAGCCTGATACCAGCAGCCTGGATAAATATCCAGAGAGATATGTCAACAAAATAAAGCTGATTGCAAAAACTTTCATGCTATATGCTTCTATTATAGTACTCTTGAAATTACAATAACATAAAAATGGAGAACAGATTAGTCGTTGTCAAGAGTTAAGGAAGGAGCAAGGCAGTAGGAAGCAGGTGTGATTACGAAGAGGCAACATGAGGAAGCTTATGGTGACGGGCGTGTTCTATATCTTGACTCTGGATATCATTCTCTCGGTTGTGATATGGCACTGCATATTTTGCAATGTTATCACTGAGGGAAAACTCAGTTGGGGTGCATGGAATCTCTCTTCATTATTTCTTATAACTATATGTGAATCTAAAAATATCTCAAAACAAAAGTTTAATTTAAAAATTGCATCTGTCAATGTTTTCTTGAAAATCAAACGTGATCGTATCTATGAAAACTCTTTATAATTTGTAAAGCATGGATGCATATTAAGTTTTATATATATATATGTACATGTATATAATAAAAGTTTTATATATAGGTGTGTATATAACATTAAGCGTTTTTGTTTTTTTTGTTTTTTTTTTTGAGACGAAGTTTCACTCTTGTTACCCAGGCTGGAGTGCAATGGCACGGTCTCGGCTCACCGTAACCTCCGCCTCCTGGGTTCAGGCAATTCTCCTGCCTCAGCCTCCCGAGTAGCTGGGATTACAGGCACGCGCCACCATGCCCAGCTAATTTTTTGTATTTTTAGTAGAGACAGGGTTTCGCCATGTTGACCAGGATGGTCTCGATCTCTTGACCTCATGATCCACCCGCCTCGGCCTCCCAAAGTGCTGGGATTACAGGCTTGAGCCACCGCGCCCGGCCAACATTAAGCTTTTTAAATAAGTATTTGAATATGATATTTCGTCGATCAATCGCTCTCAATGCATTTTCAAGCATTTGTTTGTCAGGTTCTCCAACGTCTATGGAAAGAGAAATAATTAATGAGGATATAGGCCATATTCTAATTATAATGAGAGGTAGATAAAAACCCTCCTGGGTTAACACATGTAATGTGGCCTTTGTGTTTGAGGATGTTGCTGCCAACAAGGTAATTAACTATCGATGACATGGCAGTGAATGGATTCCAAAACTGGCCTCAAAAGTGAGGGCTGGAGATCACTGGCCAGCTATCGCAAAAATTCCATAAGAGATGGCTTATCAATGATTCAACTTAGTGCCAAGGACACAGTAGGTATCCAACAAATATTTGTTGACTGAATGAATGACATACACTAAATAAGTGGTAGCAATTTGTACTACAATTAAAACTGCACTAGAATGTCCTGCAGACACCTCTGATTTATCATGTTCCTCCCGGGACTGGCACCTCTGCCTCCGCAATCAAACCAGACACTTCTCTGGCATTGATTTCTTAACAAATGACATGTACATCTACCAACACTAGTTTCATCATGCCAGAAAGCTTGAGGTCTTTCTAGACTCCTCTTCTATACCCAATGATGTCAAACTGGAAATTGAGTACTTAGCATCTCCTTCATTGTCTACCTTCCCCACCCTCACTAATTCTGGCTTCCTTCTTTTGTCATTTCTCAGCTGGGAAATTTCACACTGCCTCTGTCTTCAATGGTCAGAATGACTCATCTTGTGGAAAGCTTCCCTGATCAGACAAAATATTTTTAAGACAACATTAATAACCACTGATTGAGCTCTTGCATTGCTATACACTGTGCTAAGATCCTTCCACACCCTAACTGTGAGGGTGGTTTAGGAGGACGTATTTTGGTTACCTTCCCAAGTGAATCTAATTGTAGTGCAAACTGCTACCACTTATTTAGGGTATGTCATTCATTTAGTCAACAAATATTTGTGCTTGGGACTAATAGTGGGTAGATGGGAGACGTGGATTCTGACAGAATTTTGTCGCTCTTAACAAGAGATGCATACCTTCCTTTTTTTTTTCTTTTCAAAAATATACTTTATTGCTTAGCACAGTTATAGATTTATAGAAAAATGAAAAGACAGTACAAAGAGTTGCCATATACCCACTCCCACCCACTGTCCCCTATAATTAACATCTTAACTTTCTCTTTGAGGACTGTTGACATGGCTCTATGAAGAGACGGTTGCATCCCCTGTAGCCATCTGGCAAACATGAAGGTAACACTGAAGGCAAACACAGATAGCACAAGGAATGTGTTTACGGCCTCACAACTACAGTAGTATAGCAGAGCTTGAGTTCAAGCTTGATGTAATTCCAAGATTATGTTTTGATTATGCAATTCTTATTATACAATATTGCATTTATTGATCAGTTTCACTATCTCCTCACCTAGACTGTAATTTCCTTATAGGTAAAATTTACACAGCCCGGTGTGTGATTTCTTCCAGTATAAGAACCATATATTTTCATATGACTGGACATAATATTAGGGCAAGTAAAGAGTATGCTTTAGAAATACTGCTTATTTCCTTAGCAGGAAGCACTCTGATGGTCTCTCCTGGTCTCTCATCTAAAGATTTGTTTCACTCTTTACTCCAAATAACAGACATAAGGTTCGTATGAGATTGACTACACCCCTAACTCTAGCAGTCACAATTGTCCCAAGTCAATCAAGATAATTCCATCTTTTTTTTCTGACATCTTTAGCTTGAAAGTTATAATATGATGAAGAATGATGCAATCATGTGATTTTTAAATTGATGGTTGTGGTAAAAGCAATCTCCTCCACCGAAGAAGGCCTGGAGCCCTAGAAGTCACTGGCAGCTTTCTTCTTAACATTCTGACATGAGGAAAGCCAGTTAAAGGATGAAGAAAATACACAGAGGAAGTAAAGCTAAGAGAATTCCAGGAAGATGAGACCTGATGACATTGTGGACGTTTGGATCAAACTTAAAACCTGCCCTAATTCTGAACTTTTCAACCTCATGAGTCAATACTTTCCTTATAGTAATCTATCTGAATAGGGCTTTCTATAACATGCATATGAAGGCTCCTTACTGATACAATCTTAATTACTTTTTAAATTAAAATATATTTTATATAAAATGTCACACTGCAAATAATGTAAATATAGACTCCAGTCTGCATTATCTAGCAATAATAATAGCACTGGTTACATATGTTCCTTTTTAGTTACATCCTTAAAGCATTACAATTATACATCTAATATTATATTGCTTGCTACAAAACATTTAATAATTTTAGGAAGTGGTCCAATGTGAATATTAAAGAAAAAAGAAAATTTTGTCTCTGTATAATTAATTTGCTTTTAGTTATCAAATCAGGATTTGAGTATAAATACAAATCCTTTATATTAAAAAGAAACAAGACCAATGTTTCATTGCAGCTAAGGCTAGAACTCTGAAATCATGACAATCCTTGTGTAAACTTAAATCATATAGCCCTTGGAGCTCAGTTTCCTCAAATGAAGTATTTTGTGAAATGATCTATGTGTGTATTTTACATATATATATATATATATATACACTTATGATTATGAGATTTAAGTTTTCTTTATCAAGACATAAGTCTGAGCTTTTAAGATTTTTGACCTTACATTTGTTGAATGAATAAATATGCCACAGATTTTTGGTAAGATTTCATAAGGAGTTCAAAAAGGGCTCAAAGTCAATCTGTTACATGGAGAATCTGCTTTTGGAAAAATTTACTTATTGAAGGTGAAAAAGTGGAGATGCAACTTAAATATTCTGATTCAAAAATTGAAACCATATGCCTTATATCGTTAACAGGCAAGGAATAGAGAGAAAAGTGCAAAAACTCATTCTTTGACATGATGTTGAAAGTGAGTTCAATAGCCATGAGACTGCTGTTGAAGTCAGTGTCACAATGCTTTGAAACGAATGGACTCTTCTATTTGCCCGTATAAAAATTTGCCTTGATTCTTGAGTTTCACAACCTTTTACAATCAAAACTTAACCGCCAGGCAATAATATGACTACTTGGTCTTGTTCATAAGTTGTAGTTTAATGATTTGAATGTGGCCTCTCTACATTTATCTGCTTTTATCTCTCTCACTCTTCCGCTGGACTTTGCCCTTTTGATAAAGAATTAATGTTTGAACAAGTCTTCAAAAGGAATGGTGGAGCAAAAGAGAGGAAGGGGAGTGGCAGGAAGTAAGAATAGTGTGTTGACCAAGGCTGATGATGAGGTTTATTCTTTCAAGAAAGCTCTAGTGTGCCTCTGAAGGAACCTAAGCAAAGGAGAGCTCCTTGGCTTTCAGGTTCTATTATTACCTTAGTGGAGCTTGGTGCAGTTCTAAAAGGCATTTTTCTTCCTCCCTAAACTTTTTCCTATCCCCCTGTGACCTGGTTTACTCACTCTTTGCTGTATCCAGTCCTTACCACCAATCATGGGTGCTCCATGCTTTCTCACAGGCCAGGGATCTCCAAAAATGTTTGGTTGTATGCCTTTATCAGTTTAAAAAATGTGAAAATACAAACTTTTTTCCCTTATATAAAATAAGACCTTTAGGGCCAATATGGTGGCTCCATGGTGTCGTAAGCTCCTTGTACCTTTCTGTCCCCATATTTCTCATGTGGCTTCTCCTTTCAAAGTGATAAGATGGCAACCGGAGCCCTGATCATCATACCTGGGCCCAAGAAGGGAAAAAAGGAAGGATCCTGTTTCTGTGTTCTCCCCTTTTTAAGGGGACTGCTCAGAGGTTCATCCAATAACTTCTAATTGTTTAGAATCTAATCACTTGACCATAACACAGCTGTAAAGAAGACTGGGGAATATAATCTTTTAGCTGAAGATTATCCAACTGTCACAGAAGAAGAGAATGCTGTTTCTGCCATTTGGCTTCAGAATCTTGTTTTTTTCTATTAATTGTCAAAGCAGTCACAATGCGTTGCTAAAATATCTTAAGAATATGTGATTTCCTCTACGCACATCGTTCCTTTTAACAATCTCCAAAATGTATTTCTTCAACGCGTTGGTATAGCACAAAGGAAATTTAATGAATGATCTTAGCTGAGATGAGTTAACACATCTGTATTTTTATTCAGCTTGTAGATCATCTTCCTATGCTGTGCGATTTGCTCTTCTATGAATTTCCGAGTAAGTTTACTGACAAATGCTTTTTAATTTGTTGCCACCTTGTACCTTGATGTTATTTCAGCCATTTTTACTATGCCACAAAAAGACACATTTATATGTATTGCATGTCATTTTGTAAAGTATTCAACTGAACATACTATGATTTAATCTTCACTAGATATCCTGGATGTTTGGCTTTTAGTTGCCTAGTTAATCATGATGTCTTCATGCTAATAATACCTATAAATACAAGCCACTTCTCTTTAGGAAATTACAGTATCTTGATGCAGACCTGAACTTCATGTTTTTGACATGACACAGACTTGTGCCTTAAACTATTCATGTCAGTGCTGTTTAACAGCCATTTGATGTAAACTACGGTTGTAATTTAAAAATTTC